TGTCCTATGTTCTAAATTTAAGATATTTATATATTCTTTGTTTTTTCAAGAAAGTTTGTGGGAAAGTTGGGATTGAGATTCTCAACCTTTGCAGGAATATGGATATAGATCCTCAACTTCAAAAGTGAGGTTATATATCCTCAACCAATTTAGCCCCTGTTTGGGGCAGCTAAAAATCATATTTTTCGAATATTTTAATAAAAGTTGCGTTTTTAATTAAATGTGTTTGTTAAAATTAATTATTGATTTTAACTTATAATTTTATAATTTTTTTAAGTTACACCAAACATGGCCTTAATATTGTGACTTGAGATCCCTAATGGAGCGAAATAATATATTCAACGACTAAAAAATTCAAATTTATATTGAAATGAAAGTTACACCCCTAATCTAAGATAAATAAAAGTAAGAGAGAAAAATAAAAATGCATATCAAAAGAAAAAAATGGGAAAAGGAAAATATTATCAGTCTCCTTCCCCACCCCACAACCAATTCCACAACCGCAGCCGTCGCCAACCCAACCACCACCATCACTAGCTGCAAACACCTAAAGACCATGAACGAAACAAGTAATCTTAAATGAGGTCATGGATCTACAGTGTGTTTTATATCCTTGGAAATATTATCCAATAATGTGTTAGATGAATTGTCAAAAATATTGTTAGACATGTTTTAAGTTTCATATTATCCGCGGATGAATTTTTGATGGATAAAAAATACAGATTGCCTCCATTTTGAGCTTACCATCTCTCATTGTTATACAATTTGTTGAAGACTCATTTTTTTGCATACTCGTCATACCATGCCAGTAATTATCACCAAATCCCTCAAAAAACTAGTTAAAATCGAACTTCTTAATTTGAGTGTAATTCATTGGTAAATTTGAAGGCTTAGAAGGGGATTTTGGAATTTGATTTCGATTGCCACTTTAGCTTCGATTTTTAGGTGGTATGGAAGTGCTAGCGATGATAGAAATGGGATGTTAGCCGATGGGGGTGGCGGTTGAACGGGGCGGTAATTCCCCGCCTCGTTACCCGTTTAAGGCAAGATGAGACAAGGCCCTTGCCCTCTTTACTAATTTTTATTTTTTAAAGTTTTTGATAATTTATTTTATTGTCCACATTCATTAAATTGAGACAAATAATTTTAGTTGCAATTTTTTATTAGAACTAATGAAAATTTCCATTTAAAATATTGAATTCTAAAATAAATAAATAAATAAAAATTTAAACGGGGCGAGGCACCCGTTACTCGTCCCCACCCCGAGGCGAAATTCTCCGTCCCGTTCAGGGCTGGCCTCGCGGTTATCAGATTTGTCGGAGTTTTTGCCATCCCTACTAGTGAAATTGGTTGCTGATGGTGGCTGGAATCAGGTTTGGGCATGGTTCTGGTTGGGCTGGTTTTGAGCTCAACCCAAAATCGAAACCAACTTGATCGGTTTGAATAAATTTCAATTCAAACCGACCCAATCTAGTTGTTGAAATCGAACCACACCAAATCTACTTGGCTCTGTTTGGTTTGGTTAGTCGGTTTGAATATTTGTCTGAGTTAAAAAATTTGCAATCTTATTTTGAGCTAAAAAAATTTGTTTGCCTATATATATAGAGAAAAACCATTTGTACAGAAAACCTCTTCACAGAGGTCTTACCGACCCTCACATGAGGTAGGTCCCCATGTGGGATCCACCTAATTAGAAATTGATTACAAAATTTTCCCGCCCTCCCTTGTGTGTAATTTGTAGAACTTCTGTGAAGCTACACTTCTGTAAGTGTAGCTCGGTTCAAATTTAAATTATAGTTAACAATTAATTTT